AAACAGGAGACATCAGTTGGGGGGAGAATGAGATATCGCCACAATTGATGTTTGATCTCCACTTGGAAGACAGAGAACTCAAATGTTTGATCTCCACTTGGAAGACACAGAATTCAAATGCAGCTTGCTCAACAAGTTGATCGAGGCTGAGGACGTTGATGATGACATGCTCCAGGGTCGATGATGGCATGACTGCTCCAGGGGACTACAGAAGCTGACAACATCAATGCACAAAACTACGTCAACATGGAAATTGGTTTAAGAAGAGGCCTGACAGACTATGCGATAGGCAAGGGCATCCAAGACGAACCTGCTTTTGCACACATGTTGTTTGTAAACGCGCGCGATTCCTTGGCAAAGTCAAATCGAAGTACCTGCGATGGTACCGGGAACGTACACACAAGTACGGGATACGAATCCCTAAAATCGATCGAAGAAGCCATCGAAATTGACAAAAAGAATGGGGGCATGTTATGGCAGGACTCGTCAACTCAAATGGAAATGAAGAACGATACTAGTAGTGATGGCAAGTGGTGATGGCAACACTAAACAGAGTGGACTTGCAATGTACAGATATCCAGAATGCCTCCCTCACTGAACAAGCAATCGAGAAGTACTACATGGTATAGTAGGACCTGAATTTGGGGACAAAGAAGGCAAAGTCTTCATTGTAAGAAGGGCATTGTGCCAATCCTGACGTTTGGATGAGGGCAACTACTACTAAGCCTGATGGGGAGGAATGTTATGAATATATCCTTTGTTACTTCGATGACATCATCTGTATGTCGATGAAAGCCAAGGAAGTGATGGAAGGAATTGAAAGGGCGTTCAAATTAAAGAAAGAGAAGATTGAACCACCAGAGAGCTATCTAGGAGCCAGATTACGAAACAAGACTTTGGACGGATTCGATATGTGGACAATGTCTAGTTATGACTATGTCGTGGCAGCCGTCAAGAGTGTTAAAGAAACGTTGAAAGACAAGAATGCAATCTACTAAAGAATGCACTGACGCCAATGACCAGTGTTTACGAACCGGAGATGGACGGATCAAGTCAATGATCAGTACTTACAAACCAGAGATGGACGGATCAAGTGAATTAGGGCAAAAGAACCATACCTACTTTCAAGAGTTGATTGGGATGTTACGATGGGCAACGTTGAGCCAGTATCAAGCGGCCCCAAGAGAAGGACACAGGGAGCAAGCATTGAGGATATGTACTATGTTTGGAGGGTGCCGAACTTAGTTCACAAGAGGATTTCCAAGCATACTATCGAGACGCGAAAGGGGAAATGTCACACAACGATTCCAAAACAAGAGGACGAAGAGTAGGAGTACTGTATGGGTGAAGCTGTTACGCATTTGAGATCCAAATTGATGATGTTTGGAATACCTTTGGAAGATGAACCAACACACATGTTTTGTGACAACGAGAGTGTGGTTATGAATGCAGAAGGGGACAACTATGGAGAGTCGACATATAGTCACAGTGTTGAACTGGATCCCATCGTTGGAACCCAATTCGAGGGGACCAAATAAAGGTGACTGTGCTATTGAATATGAGATCGATCATGTTGTTGTGCAAGTGTACGATCGCTAGAGTCCGTAAGTAGTAAGGACAAATCGGCCTCCAGGGAAGCACGTCGATCTGACGATGGTAACACTCTTTTTAAGAATACAATTGATTTACACTATCATCTTTTATACATACTACTTCGTAAGTCAAATACATTGTAATACAGTAACAATTACATTTATATGAATACAAGTCAACGCGTTGAATTCAAGTTCTCTACCGTTGACGTCAATTTTCCATGGACCAATCAAATCAACAGCAACGGAGAACCATGGAACCAAATCTGCGTGTCGTTCAGGTAACTGTCCGTATTGAACATTCGCCGCTTTATTGAGTTGGCAAATTTCACAATTGAATCGTTCAATTCGTTGCTTCAATCCAGGAGAGTAGAATCGCTTTGCAATCGTTGCATACATTGACGTTTTTCCTCTGTGTCCAAGCACAAGGTGATACCAGGTGATCACATCATCAACCACACTCAAAGGCAAGTAAATTCTCCAATCGTCTTGACGTGCAGGATCGATTCGATAGGTGATGATGAGTCGCTCGTCAATTGTCGTGATCTGGTAGTGCTGTGCATCGCGTTGAGCTCGTTGCATGAGCAGTTGATCTTGAGTTTGATGTTGTTGAATGTTTGGCATTGTGATTGGGTTCGGCATCGTTTGTAGAGGAGAATGATTCAAAAAGGACTCTTCCATTTCAATGTCGTCAATGGTCAGGTGTTCATGAGTTTCTCTATCTCGGCAACAGGAGAACTGACATCGAAAAGTACTGTTGAACTCGGCTTCTGCTGGTGGCATAATCAAATCATTTTCTTTTACGAGAACATTATCTTCAAACGTGTAGATTTCGTCTTCAGGATCAACACTTCTTGGATCAAGGCCATATGTTCTTTGTAGGAATTGGAGAACAGGCCAACATCATCAATATAAATTTCAACACCTTTTTCTTTAGGTCACGTAGAGTTTTTTTGATATAGTATTGGGCAAAAACAGGAGCCGGTTTCAATCCCATTGCCATTCGGTTGTATTGGTACAAACCGTACTGGGTATTGATCGTGCAAAGTTTTTTGCTCGGCTCATCCAATTCAAAAGAATGATACATCATTGTGAGATCAAGTTTTGTGAAATACTTGTAGCCAGAACGACGCGCAACAATGTCATCAATTAAAGGTAAGGGGTATACTTTACGCTTGACATTCTTGTTCAGCTGTCGGAGATCGCTGATCCATCGCACCCTACCGTCCTTCTTTGGAATGATGAATGTTAGCGACGCCCATTCTGACGGTCCTGTTCGTTCAAGGACCCCAATCTCTTGTAGATGTTTCAATTCTTTGAGAAATGCAGGTTCATGTTGCTTCGGCACAGAATACGCTTTTGAAAACACGGGTTGCGCATTCTCAATGAGCTCCAAGTGAACCTTCTCATGCTTGTATGCGGAGTTGACCATCAAAAATCTCGTCTGTATTCTGCAACGCTTGAGCCAAAAGTTTGCGCTGATCTTCAGTTAGATGCTTTTGCTTGTCAGCAACTTCAGCACCTGAAGTAGCTTCATATTTTGCATCCATAATAAAGGCATCATCAGCATCAGCATCATCGTAGATATCCAGAACATCGCGATCCAATGCCATTGAGTAGTTGGTGTGATTTTGCCAATGATCTGGAGCCTTCATTGGAATGAACTTGTCTATCCATTTGACTTGTCCGTTTGAAAATTGCATATCCAAGGTCGCGTTATGACGTCATGTGGACATGTTGGCGAATCAAAGACATTCGCCTTGACACCGTCGACACCTGCAATTCTGCGGTGTTTGTCAAATTCGGGAAAAACTCCGTCCCGCAATTTCACACATTTGTCAGAAATGAAATCACCAGCAACAGTAGTACACTTCTTCGCATTTTGAATACTTTGTACCTTAGCATCTTTAGGAATCGCCCTTGCATTGATCATCGTATGCGATCCTCCTGAATCAAATAATACTCGTAAAACTTTTCCACTTTCAATTCCTCCATAGAATTTACGTCTTGTTTTGGCGTAGGTATACAAAGCAAAGAATCATTCAAAATAAACTCCTTTTCATCTTTAGTCATGGGACCATCTTCATCATCAAATTTTTCCAATGCTGAAAGAAACGAAGACAAATCAGGTTCCAGAAATGGGTTAGGAAGCTTAGGAGTATTTTTGGGTCAGTAATGCTCCTCATGAAAGGAAAATTGCGAATCCTCATCATAGGAAAAATGTTCGTGCGCCTCCTGTTCTTCATGATAATATTCTTCTTGTTCATAGTTGAATTGATCATTCCATCGCTGATTTTCTTCAGCTTGATAATATTGTTCCTGATGCTGGTACTGCTCGGCACTTGGCATTCCACCATAAGACATTCCGTCTTGGTTCCATTCCGGAACGCTGCCTTCCGCAGCAAAGCTTTCAGCTTCTTGATTGTAGTGCGACTCAGCATAGTGGTTTTGACTGTTTTGTTGCTGTGATTGGCCTCTGCCTTGATAGTTTTGTCCTGGCTGAAAACGACCAGATTGGGAGCGTCCACTGCGCTGGCCATTGAATCCACGGCCTCTGCCACCATTGTTGGGGTGTCTTGGTTGAAATCGTCCTTGGTTTTGTTGCTGGGAATTGCCTCCATGTTGAAAACGTTGTGAAGTCCCTTTAGAATATCTTGAAGAGTTCGAGGGTCTTGGATATGGTTGATAACCATTGCTTGGTCGACCATGACCACGACCACCACCAAAACGATTGTGGTGAAGGCCTCTACCGCCTGTGCGATTACCAGGTCGAGTTCGACGGGGAGAACTCTCGTGCATAAGTTTCTTCCTGTCCACTGTTCTTTTCTTCTGTGTCATCCAACTGACAATATCTTTCCACATAATATTATCGTCGTTCGCCGGATCATTCCGCGAATTGATAAAATCTCCCTGCCAATCAATTGGAAAGGAGCAAAACAGTGCCAGCTTTCTCTTTCGAATTTGACCCGGATCGTTCTCATCGTTCACGTTGGAACAATTTCCAGGAAGCATATTGTGATACATAAATAGGGTTTTCAAGCGATTTGCGTGAATTCCAATTTCAGTAGTATATGGTTTGCGAATGTGGTTGGAAGTATCAAAGAGATACATGTTCGCCTGATACTTTGGATTTTCACCAGTGTATTTGCAAATGAATTCATTGACAGAATCTTCAAAGTCCTGAACTGAGTTCCCATGAGCATCAGAAATCCTCTGATAGGTCATGTGCGGTTCAGCAGTGAGGAATTGCTTGAACAAGGCCTTCTTTTGACGACCCTGATTGAGTCCC